AAGGAAGGAAGGAAGGAAGGAAGGAAGGAAGGAAGGAAGGAAGGAAGGAAGGAAGGAAGGAAGGAAGGAAAAGAAAAGAAAAGAAAAGAGAGAAAATGATAAAGAAAAGAAGGAACTTAGTAATCAGAGACCAGAAACCAGCCTGCCTGGCAAGAATGAAGTCAGAGATGAAGAGGACTCAGCAAAGACTAGCTTTTTGGGAGAGAAGAGCAGATGTGGTAGGAGAAAAGGCAATATTTCGGGTGGAGAATCCATGCTTGTTTGCAGATGAGGAAATGGCTTTTTTTTTTTTTTATTTTTTATTTTTTTTTTATGGTCACAACATTCTGGACTACTGTCTTATTACCAAAGGAATAAATGGAGAAGGTGAAGAAGAGAGATTCTTTTAAAGACAAATGTATCAGCTACTTATCTGGTAATGTTTGATTCCAGTGATCAAAGCCAATTAATTCTTTTTTAAATTCATTTAGTACCTAGAGTGCCTAGAAATCCAAAACTCATGGATCTATTTAGCAACAACCTTCAGTTCCCCATTCCTTTCTCAGTCTTCTCTAGATCTCTTTACAAGAGAAATCCAGAAACAACAATACTCTTTTCACTTGGAAAATAAATAGATAGATAGATAGATAGATAGATAGATAGATAGATAGATAAATAAATAAATAAATAAAGGCTCTTTGTGATAATGTGGTAATAAATCATAGTACTTTTGTTTTAATTAACACATGAAAGGGATTCAGCTACCAAAATTGAATAGACATATTTACAACACCCTCCCATGTGCCGAATTAATCCACTGAAAAATGCTGTTCTCAAAACCATGTTTTTCAAAGGCATAAGTTCTTGGAACATGCGAAGTGTCCTGGAATCTTAATGCAAACCGTCATCAGCTTTTAAATTTCCCTGTCTTTTATCATGAGTGAAGTCCTGAGACCATTTATTAATTTTTTAAGAGAGAGTCTCACAGGGTAGCCCTGTCTGGTGACTGAACTCACACTGACCCATCTGTGTTGGCTTCCAAGGTGCTGGGATTGAAGGTTTGCCCCACCACACCTGGCTCCGTGTACTGTGGTTTAAATGTGAGCTTCTATAATACAGGTAGGAGCCCAGGATAAATGAGGGTCGTGTGTTCCCTCTCAGTAGCTTGCCTCAAAGGTCATACAGAATCCCATCAGAGACTAAGATCAGGAAACACTTTGTTTCTTAATGCGTGTGCGTACTGGGACCCAGCTTCTAAGGAAGACACAGCACTAGCCATGGCTGATCATTGAATACCAATCTCCAAGAGAACTTCCATCTCCTTTTAGAGTACTTCTCTACCCCACTGTCTCCTCGGCAACATCAGAAGAGAGCTGCTGACGGTCCTTCCCAAAGAGCTGAGGGAAAAGAAGGAAAATAAAAACAAAGACAAAGCAAAAACAAACAAGGAGGCAAAAGAGAGGGGGGATGTATCAGGCATGGTTGAGTGACATCCAAAATGACTCGGGACAGATTAGGTATCTGCCAGGCCCCTTAATCTAATCAAACCCCAAGTGTGTGGTTTCATTCTAGATAAGATAGAGGGTGGGGATAATTAACTGTAGTGGCAAAGGAGGAAGTGTTTGTCTGGGATTTTTCTCATATTAATAAGGGGAAAGATGAAACATGATACGGTAATTGAGCCTGCCATCAGGTCAGAAGAGCAGACAAGGTGAGGTATTAAAAACACCCACTCTATCCAAAATCTAACAAAGCACGGAGGGAAAGGACAACGCATCCTATCTTTGAGCACATCATCTTAGTTATTTTGCAAGTCTAGATGCAAAGAGGAAGAAAAAACAAACCAAAAGAAAAATTATCTTTCTAGAAGCACTTATTAAAAAAAAAAAAATACTCAAGACAACCTATCATTTAAACTATTTCCCAACTAATTGTGTCTGCCAAGTTTCTAGGCCTGGTAGCCTCTGTGTTCAAAATCAACGAAGAAATTAATAAATCACACCAACTGCACCAGTTTTCTGGTGACCCCCCTCCGACTCTCTCTTACCTGGGTGCCATCGTGGTCTTCACATCTGCCTAGGACATGAAGAGTGAAGAGCTGATGACCTGGCAGATGGGAGGAATAGTCAGAGCTCGTGGGGCTGGTGGGATGGCTCAGCAGCTAAGAACGCTTGCCGCTCCGGGGGACCTGAGTTTGCTCCCATTGCCTGCATCAGATAGCTCACACGTTCAGTCCCTTACAGGCAGTAGTTATAAACACATGCGTGCACACACAAATTCATTTTTATTTTCTAGGTCTCAGGCTTCTGATTGTCAGGAAAAGGGAAAAGATCAGAAAGTAAATGAAGGGTGACAACTACCTTTCTCACATCCATGTTTTTCAGGATTAAGTAAATTAATCAGACGAAAATCAGGAATTTTTTTTCCACTTTTAAAAAAAGAGTCATTCACTAAGAAAAGCTTTTATATTGTACAACAACACTCCCCAACATAAACCAAACTTCCTTGTGCCTTGACACATCTCAAGAGTCCATTGATGGGATTGTCATAATGTTGGCGTTTTCTTACAAGGAAAAATCTCTCAACAAATAAGATGTAGCATACAATAAAACCCTTTGGAGTTCCTCTAGCAGTATTGCACAGGTACAAAAGTCACTGAAGGAATAATTTTTCACTCATGGGTACACACCAGTCATGCAAGAGCAAGGAGGATTAGATAAAAGTTATGTTTCCTTAAATACAGAGGCACTGCTACCTCAGTTTTGTATTTCCTGGGTTTCTGTGACTGCGAGTGGTCCACGTTTAAAGTGACCTAGAGGAGAGATGAATGTGGATAGAGGTATCCTAGCCAGCTGGCGGAGGTTGGGCTGTGCTGGAGCCTTCGCTGTCATCTCCCGCTTGCATTTCTCCATCCCTTGGAAAAACTGCTGCTGTGGTTTGATAGGACTGTCCTACCTGCCTCAACATGCCCGAGAGGCTTACTGAGTTTAAAAGCCATTGAGTCTTACATCAATCATGTTGGGCAAGGTTTTCCTCATTTCTTTACCACCCAATTCTATCTAAAACATTGAACCCTTCTAGGTTTCCCCATCTTTGAAATGTGGATGATCATATAGTTTATTCAGGGTGACTAATAGAGATGGAAGTCTAGTTGGTTACTCCTCTTTGACAGTGTTGTGTTAGCTGAATGTGAAAGGCCTTGGTTAAAAGCGTGTTTGGGCACAAAGGACAAATTCTTGTTTATCTTGCGCAGTGTACATGGATAGTGTTTCTAAGCCAGATCAGCTCTAAAGAGAGCACCCGACAATTATCATCTGCCCACATGTCAGAGGTGGATGGCTGGCCTTTCCTTTGTCACTGCAAACAGCTTACGTGGGTGGGAACAAAGCCTAGCCTGGAATGGCTGTGTCTACAGCCCTTCACTGAAGAGCCTCAGAGAGATTCATAGGCTATCACTCTCCATGGGTCCCTACCTGCTAACAGTCTATATTCAGGTGGCTTACTCTTTTTTTGCTTTTGTCCCACGGAGATTCTCCTATAAAATCTCATCCTAATTTCCAAAACTATCCTGTTTAAGCAAGGGGAAATTTATTTAATGCCTGCATTTATACCACTAAAGCCCAGAAATTGCTCAACAGCTCTGATTTTCAACCGTTTCTCTGTGTAGCCTTGGCCGTCCTGGACTCACATGGTGGACCAGGCTTCCCTCAAACTCATAGCAATCCACCTGTCTCTGCCTCCCCAAGTGCTGAGATTACAGACATGTGCCATGGCTCCTGGCTGCTAAATATTTCTTAAGTCAAAAGTAGCTTAGTAAATATCCCTCGAGACTGCAGGCCATCCTGGAATGCTAACAGGAGCATGAAAACCCACAATCCCGTTACGATGGATGTATTCCCCCCCCCCAAAGAAGCCATAAAAGGGGGCATGTGATGCTCTCCTCAAAGAGTCAAAACACTTCTCATCATTTTAGTTTATTCTAGAAATTAAACAACTCTCATTCAGGAGAGTTGCCCAGTTTTCTTAAAGGTCCATTTCTGTTCTTTTGATCTGGCTTTAGATGGCTCTCCACCCTCTAATTTACTTTCAAGATGCTAATGAAATCAATAGTCATAATGGCTTCCACATTCTAAAATATCTAAGGATGGGGGAATTCTTGGGCCTCGATAGATTTCTGCCAGTACCTTATGGAAACACTAAAGGACCATCCCAAAAATAAATTGCTTAAGCCCCAATGGAGAAAACTGTAAATAATATTTTCTGATTTTTACAATTTTAAAAGATCCTACTTCTTTTAGATATAATTTAGATCCTACACACACACACACACACACACACACACACACACACACACACACACA